GGTGGTGAGTAAACAACAAAACAATACAATACAATAGAAACGCTAAGTTTTACAGCAAAATTTAAAAAAAAAAGATATATTTTTTTTTCAATTCAGTATGCCGGACTTGTGTCCCTAACATCGACTCCAATGAATGCCGGACCAAACCTACGTCAGCTTCTAGGTCGTCCAGTTAACGAGAAAGCGATCTTATTACTACCAGTCGGGTTTCCATCCGCCGACGCCATCGACTAGCAGAGAGCCTCCGATTGCTGACGACAGGAGCTTTAGTGTAAAGTGACCTAAATATTGGTATAGTATTATAATTGTAGAACTATGTGATATTACATCATCAAATACTTAATCAAATACTGTAATAATTGAGTTTAATTAGGTTCATTTGGTTTCTGAAAGCATATACACACGTACGCTTAATATTAACTGAACGGTTGTGCCCACTAAGTACTCAACGATGAATTTGTTAGATAAAATTGTCTGTGAAAAAATTGTAGCTGATATTTTGTGTATTGTATTTCTGAATAATTTTTGTTGTAATATATACCAAGGAAATTATTCCATGTACTTGATATATGAAGAATAAATATGATTTAATCTGAATCTGAACACTTCTTTGATGGTAGGCGAAAGACATTACAGGAGAAATTTCCTTTCGTTGCCTGGCATCTCTATTGAGAAAGATTACAAATACAATTATGAATTATGAACTTCATAAACATTGTTATTCATGCCGAATCATAAAGTAATAAATCGACTCGATATCGGCGTTTAATTCGTTCAATTTCTGTGAGATTAATCTGTTTATAATATTCTTGAAGAATATACTCATGTGAGCTGTTCGTTGGGTTTGTAGATACTGGGAAATCAATCGCTATATTTAAAGCTTTTAATATGAACTTTGAATCTTCAAACAGTGTATCAAAATGACCTATATAATCATAATCAATTTCACATGGAGAACACAGACGATAAGTTTCCCGCCAATGTTCTTCCGGAAGACCCGAAAGACTGTTCCTATTATCACCTAAATACTGGACAAATTCTTGAAATGTCACAGATAGATTACCCTTCATTAACGTTTCATCAACGGTGTTATTTTCTCTATACATTTTCATAATGCTAGATACAAATGGTTTTCTAAATGCCATTGCATTGTGTGAGTTGTCTTCGAATTTATTTCTATACGCGGAGACAATGCGTCCAAATGGTTCACGGAGGAAAAACAGTTTGGTGTAAGTTTTTAATATTTTCTCGGCTTCTGCTTCTGTTACATCGGCGAGAGTTTTGAAACGTTGGTGTGCTTTGGATTGTTCTATATCATCCGTGGAGTTATATCTCCCACGTAGAACTAGGAACAGTCGCTTCCAGTTTGTACAGCCTGTCTTTGGGACGGAACAGTACATTAATTTGTACTCATCCACCACAATGAGGTTGAACTTCAGCGTCGTATTTTTTCTGTACAAGTCTCGTGAACACAACTGTTTAACATGTTGTCGTCTTAAATCAAACCTGTGTCGAATCAGATCTCCATCCGATACACCCTATCAAAATAACGATACTCGTTAGTGAATATCCTCTCTAACTTTTTATGTTTAACGCATATAGGCCTATGTATAAAAATAATAATGATAATCAATATTGATATGAAGTTAATAAAAAATACAATTACTAATAAATAATTCAGGAGAAACGAAATTTTAACACTTTGGCTGCCACCAAAAATCGAGAAAAACATTTAAAATAAAGTAATAACCAACTTTCAAAAGATTTACTGCCCATTTACAAACCCACAATTAGCTGCCAATTTTAAGGATACGCAAACTAGGAAGATTTTTTGTCTCGTTCAGTCTTTCAGTTTGAAGTAATAACTTACAAATGCAATCAATTAAGCAATTCATTTTTAAAATTCTTTCAAGTTATTTAAATTTGCATGGCAATAGGCCTACTAGTAACAGACTAATAGGCCCACTTACCTTCTCGTTAGGCCTATAACTGCTAACATTGAGTACATCACTCGGTTGACTGTCATCAACATATCTCAAATAGACGTAATATCCTATCGTAAAATATACCGTAACAATTTACAAAATGTTGTCATGAAAAAATAGGCATTATACAATTTAATAAAATATCTTTGAAATAAGATATCATATAGGCCTACATGTAGATTTTATTTAAAAAAATGTTTAAACGATGCCTTCATTGTGATTATCTCCGTTTAGGTGGTAGGTTGGTTGTTCTTGGCATTCATTATCCAACAATATTCGTTGGTTGGCAACAGATCCATTCTCATATATAAAGCTAAATTCATAATGTTATGGAGTTTTCCTAAATTATTGATTTGAGTAAAAGTATAAGTATACAATGTAAGAAAACTTACCAATCGTGCATTCATAGCCTAAACACAAAACGGTCAACAGGAGGAAAATAAAGAAAGCTTTGCGTCTCATTTTTTTTTGTATTCACTTTCCAAAACTATTAAATCGCTCATTGATAAAATGAGTAGGCATACCGGTAACTTGAGCGTAGTATTTTTATACCCAAATGACTCCGGCGATTAGGGTTCTTTCTTTTCGATAGCAGACGGTAACAGCTTGTTACAGTGTTACAACTGATATAAAATCCGTAGGTGGCCTATAAAAAAATCCGTTAGTGGGTTTATAGTTATTTGTTAGGTTGAAGGATATATTTAAAATATCTCACACTTGCATGTGAAGAATAACACTGACTGTTTTAAAATGGGAGGATACCAATAACCTATCTAGGGAGATCTATTTAATTAGTTTTCGGGGCTGTGGTTATTAATATTGGTTACTATATAAATAATAATTAATGCTTGCGAAAAGCATTAATGCGCAAGCATTAATTATATATTATACTTCGCCATGCAAACCTTCAAACAATATTGGTTACACTACAGTAGGATTTCAAGAATTAAAACGATTGCATCGATTACAATGCTTGAGATGGATTACAACAGTTACAACAATTGCATAAGGGAACAGTTCATTGTTCATATGTTCAATCATAAAGTAATAAATCGACTCGATATCGGTGTTCTAGGTGCTTCCGTATCTAGTATTCTTATTATATCTCCATGGCAAAAACTAAAAACTATAATCTGATAGAGGACGCTCTCTGTTTTTTTTTTTTTTTTTTTAGCACAAGTGAGTGGAAATTTCAAGCGTACATTGCTATTGCCTAGCATTCGCGCGTGATCACGCGAACGCGGTGATCTTGAATATTGGATCGTTTGTATTATTGTTTGCTTTCAAGACGCTTGTCTTATTGTTGTCAATAAAATAATTTGGTGTTGACATTTGTACGGTAAGAATCGATGATTGTTTTAAAGTGTTGCTAATACCGTAGGTTAAATCAGTTGGGTACTGCCGGTCTAGGCCCTATGGCTAGCCTGTAGGCCTTGTAGAGTAGAGTAGGCTAGGCCTGCCTAGGCCTAGCCTTTTGTTTGTAGTGACAATGTTGCCACTCTAGGCCTAGGCCCTAGGGTAGGCCTAGGCCGAATTCGATCCAACTCAGCCATAAGTCAACTCGGCCACAGTCAACTCGGCCACAAGTCAACTTGGCCACAAGTCAACTTGGCCACAAAAAGTTCGGCCACAACCAAGTCATTTACTGGTACTAGGCCTAGGCTACACTTTGAAGGAGTACTTCATCAAGTATAAAATACTACTTCTTTAAGTATTACTATACTTTATTGTTATTATTATTATTATTATTGTTATTATTATTATTATTGTTAATATTGCTGTTATTATTGTTGTTGTTTTTATTACCGTTAGTAATATTACCGTAATTATTATTCTTAGCATTAACATTATGTATTGTTTAAATTTTTGCTGATATTATTATTGTTACCACATAAATAATAAATAATTCTCGATCATCGATTTTTTATTCATATTATTATTATTATTATTATTATTATTATTATATTAGTCTTAGTACTATTATTTTAATAATAGTAATTTAAAAAATATTGTTTATTGGTGTTTTATTGGTATTTTTCTCATATTATTATTATTAATATTATTGTTGTTGTCACCTTTATTATCGATATTATTACCCTATTATTACTAAGTAGGCCTAGTATTATAAGTATCATTATGATTATTACTAATTAGTATTATTACTATTATTATAAAAATAAACATCTTTAATTTATTATTGCTGTTATTATTGCTATTATCACCTTCAATATCGTTATTATCACTAATTAGTACTATCAAAATAGATATTTAAATACCATTATTAATACCATATAGTATTATTACTATTGGTATTGTTAAAAGAAATATTACTATTAATATTGTTGTTGTTATCACCTTTATTATCGTTATTATGACTAAAATCGTATAATGCCCTATAACTTATAAAAAATTGCCAAAAAATGATTTTAAAGTTGATTCCATTATTTATGGCATATCAAAAATCCCCTTTATCAAAAAAGTCATCTTTCTATTTCCCTTTTTATGAACTTTACTGTATGGCTCCTAATATACTAATCACTGTTCATTATATTTTTCACTTAGGTCTGAAGATTGCATTATGCAAGCAAAGACAGAGGTATGAAACTTTGAATTGATCACTTAAGTGAATAATAATAAAAAAAACCAATGTAGGGCTAAACTTTACAGTTTAATCCTAGAAGAATGCTTATTCATTTATTGATTAATAATTGATAATTTTCAAGCATATTTTCAAGCATAGGTCATTTTAATTCTACTTTATAAATATTTGGCACCCTACAAACAATACAATATAGAAAAACAATGATATAAAGAGATCAAAAAGAAATTTGCCTGTTTGTAATGGTATTGGCACTGTTAATATACACCTATCTGTAAAGTGCATAATACAGAATGATCTCTATTCGCTGAAAAACTACAGTCCAAGTACACAAAAATGGAATATCAAAAGAAAGGGAAGGTGAAGAATGGATGTATGGGCGACCCATAAAATCGACAAATGTTAATTTATTTCCAATAAGAGTGCAAGAAAGCTTCACAGTATTTAATTCATAGTTCAACAAATGAAATTCTTGCTGCAAGATTATATTATATACATCATAACATACAAATAATCCAACACATCGTTAACATCTATTTAATAATCTATTATTGAACTCATGGATGGCATTTACAATGAAGGATTTCTGTACCACTTATGACCCCAACATCCTAATGTGAAATGGCATTCATGAATATGTATCACTGATATGATTCACATAATTGAAGCCAATTCAAGTAAAATAAATGATTATAAATTAGATATAGAGTTACTTAAAAGTTTGTGACTAATTTTGATGATGACGATGCCACCACTCATAAATAATTTTTCTGTTGCTTTGTGTATTTTTTAGGATGGTTGGTTATCATGTACCTTATGTAGAGCAGGCAGACAAGGATGTAGTGTTCTCAGCAGAGCACAGCAGCGGAAGGTAGAATGGCCAGCACAAGTACACCAGACAAGACCTGATATCCAGGTGACACATGCTCACTCATAATAATGATCATAACCCGCAATTTTTTAAAATAGATTTTACTATTTCCAAGATTAGGGTAAAATATGCAGTCCTTGAAAATGTATAGTTTTAATGCAAAACATTAAAAAGTAATTCTATTTAATTTGTGTAAATTGTAAATAATTGTTTGGTATGTCATCTTTTTTTATACAGGATCCTCTGGTATATACGTCATTAGATGAAGCCTTTAGTAGTATGTTGCAATTTATGTCAACGTCAACAAGACAATGTAAGGTAGGAAACAGACATGGATTGTGCCAAAGTAATCCTTGCAGTTAATAACACAATTGAACATTTAATCCTATATGATCCAGGATGGCACATTATAATGCTGTTTACAGCCAATGATGCAGAATTTTATTTATTTTTTTATATCCCTCTGTAAGTAGGCTTCATATATACAAGAGGAACAATGCTTTATTATAACCAAGTCTCATTACGAAGCTTAGACAGTGGAGTGTTCTTTCATTATGAAAAAGAGAACAACTTAGCTCAGTTGTGTGTGCGCTGAACCGTGGAGATATCTTGGTCCCCGGTTGGTTCAGTTCCCATCGTAGCTCTCCTTGTATTTCAGCTGGAGGGCTGAAATACAAGCAGCAGCAGCCCACACACCCTTTTACTATAACCACTTTCATACAGAGCTGCGTTACCGCAATATTGCGGGAATATTTCCGGCATTGCCATGTGTATGAATGGGTCAGGTCTAACCGAAGCCGTAATATTGCGGTCACAAAGCGTTCCTTCTCAGACATAGTAATATTACAGCAATATTGTTGTTACAGTGCGTGCCAGCGTCTGTATGTAAGGAAAGCAGGTAAAATTCCTGCAATATTACTCCATTAGGCAAGACTTTTTATACTATTTAGTCAACCCTCCGGCCTCCAATGATAATTTAGAACAAAAATAACATTTTATTTTTTTTGGTTAAGGCTTCGAAAATGTAAATTAAAGAACAAAAAATCATATCCTTTAATTTATTTATTTTTTTATACAACCTCCGCTCACATGAAATCGCCAAAAAGAAATATTTTGCTTTATTTAGGCCTATATAAATTTATCAGTCTGACCTGACCTAGGCAGTGCATTCATCACTAACAGTTTACTTTTATTTTTTCGAAAAATAATTTTGCTAAATAAGAAAACAGAAATTTATTTAGGCCTATTTTTATTTCCGGAGCTCCTCTGGTGATTTTTTAAAATAAGTTTGTCAAACAAGGGAAACAGAAATATATCGTCTTACTAATATCATATCAGTCGAAACGAAGATGGCGAACTGGACAGATGTGGAGGCGACATAGCTGTTTTAATCTTAATACACAACATTTTTGTCTGCCTCGTGTTATACGTTCTCGAAAATATAGTTGCTGCAGTATGTATGTGCAGTACATAGAAAACATTATGTACTGCACATACAAAAGGTAAAGTAACGTCAAGGAAATCATTATTAAGTCCAGCTTACCATTATGATATTTGCATTTACCGCAATTTTCTAAAAACAATAACAATAAGGGACGCCCTCAGTATGTGATAACTAAAAAGTTTAATCAATGGCTTTCTCAGCGTGCGGGTTCCGTTTATACAGAAAGGCGTTATATTACGGCAATATTACCGCAATATCTGGTTGGTATATGCCGGTACGCGTAACAGTATTATTACCGCAATATTGCCAGCGTGTATGTCTGAAAATGGCTTTAGTTACGTATTGTAGGCTGCTAGTCCACACACCTATTACTATGTATCCAAGGTTGTCCGTGTCCTATTGCTGCAGCCTGTGTACTACAAGGGATTCCAGATCTTTGAAATTTCTTGTTACATCTTTTCTAGAGAATATGTGCGTAAAATGCAGAAGCAATACACACACCTACTTTCATGAACAAATTTTCGGAAATTTTGAAAAAAACACTAAAAAAAATGCTTTAAATATATCTTGTTGTATTAAGAACATATTTAAAAACATTTATGTTGGTGTAGGTCAACTATTATTAAATTTGATTGTCTATGAAATATACATCAATATATATATATATATATATATATCATGATTTTGAGGTGCATGATTGATTACGATTTCTCCGTAATTAGTGGATCGATTTTCATTATTTTTGCTTCTAAATGTTATTGATACAATGAGCTTTCGACTGATGCCACAAAATTACGAAATTATTGAAATTAAATTTTGCTCTGGAATCCCTATTGGCATAAACTATTAGTATTATCAGCATGGCTGTTAAATATTGTGATCTTATTTTGTCTAATTGCAGCGTTTTTATCGTAGCATCCCACCAGCAAATAAAACAACGCAAGATCAAAGACATTGTCATCGGTTCCATACGCAAAAGATTGTACCGATTAAAAAAACCAACCCAGTAAGTAATATCAATAGATGATGAACAACTATTGATAATGAGTCTTGAGTTTTGGAAAGTTACTCAAAAATTCCCAGTTAAACAAAGCTATTCTGCAAGGGTTTAAAGTTTGGTTGAACCCCAAACAGTGAGAGAATGCTTGACAAAACTGATATAATTTTTTTAGTGAATTTGAATTCAATTCATGATGTTATTTTCAAACTTTAAAGCTGCATCTGTTTATCTATACACATTTATACCATATGCTCTTTCTAAAGTGAAATATTATTAACTTATTGAAATACCAACAAGTTAACAATATTTCTAAAGTGAAATATTGTTAACTTGTTGGTATTTCAATAAACACATTATCCAGATTGCTGAATTGCAAATAATATGTGCATATTATAAACATTAGTAATCCATTAAAAAAACGACAGATGCATAGCGCTAAATTTATTAAAAAAACTAAACTCAATGATGATTGTGGTTCTCAAGTTGCCAGTTTAATATAGTCCGCATGTAAATATGTATGATGCTTATTACATAACTATAAAAAAATCTGTCCTTAAAATTTAGAAACATTCCCAAAATGCATTTCATACTATAACTGTATTGATTTGTATAAATCTGGTATTAAAATGTTCTAAAACCCAACAGATGCACTGATTGTGTTTAAATAACATAGAAAGAACAATATCCGAATAACGAGATGGAGGCCATGATTCAACGTTTTGACCGTTATTGGGTCATCTTCAGGAATGAGAAAACTGAAAGCGATTTCGAAAAAATGCTTTTTTTCTTATTCCTGAAGATGACCCAATAAAGGTTGAAATGTTGAATCATGGCCTTCCTCTCATTCAAAATAACATTCCTCTTATGTATTAAAATATTCTAAAATGTTTAAAAAAAAAAAATTATTTCAGCTACGCAAGGCAGAAGATGTACACGTTGTGGTAGCACCTGGGACGTACGCTGTGACCGCAGGTTCATGGGGAAAGGACCAACAGACTACGCATGTTGTTCATGTAACCAAAGGTCAAAGCGTTGACCTTGATTTTAATGTATAGATAATAATATTTATAGTCTACTGAATGTTGGTATACAATGTATGATTTAGAATTTGTTGAAATAATGTCTCAAAAAATATTTAAATAATTATTAATTTTGATAAATTATGGCTTTCTAATTTTGGTGTTACTGTTAACTGATTTATTTTGTATGAATTGTGGACTAACAAATTTTTAATTTTTTTTTTTTTTGTAGGAATAATCATGATAGTAATTTTGTAGAAGTTTTTAAGTTTTGAATTCTGTTGGCTTTTGTCATGATATAAATATTAAAGGTGATTTTCTTTACAATTTTATATATGATGTTAGTTTAGGATGGTAAATTATGTTTGTAGTATTAATTTGTATATTTGTTTCAAAGGATAAGTTGAAATAAATTTTGATACAAGTGGATGTTTTTTTCAGTATTTTCTTTTTGTTCACATTATTGTATTAATGAATGGTAATGGATATGATGATGATGATGTGTTTCTTGATGTGAAATGGTAATATATAAAGCAGGAGTGGGCATAAAAAATCAGTAGAGAGACAAGCGAATTTTTGATTTAACACCAAAGGCCGCAACCAAATTTTGATGGTTCCAGTGTGCTTCCAAAACTTTCACGAAATGCTTTTATACTACTGTTTTCCTACTTTTAATGCTACCTTTATAGAAGATCGGCATCGGCCTTAAAAAAACAGGTGTTTTCTAGCCAAAGATTGATGGTGGGCTGCACACAGGGTTTTCAATTCATTTTTGCGGCCCTCAAAAAAATCCTGTGCTGCTTCTGTTAAGGGTGATGCAAGGAGCCTTATTGGACATGCCTTATTTGTATTTCACAACTGATCTCCCATCCAGTACTATCATTATTAACTGTATGATGACATTTCACTAAAACACTTAGTGCAAAACTTAAGGCTACTCAGAAGTGTGCTTGCCGTATTATTTTAGGAAGGAACTACCAGTTCTACTTTCCCTTTCTAACCTTTCTGCTGATCTTATCCCCCTACCCGACAACAATCTCATGGTAGAAGTCCACGCAATGGAAGTAATTATTCACAGCTTAAATGCAAAACCAAAAGATTTTCCAATAGTCACATACCATATTCCATTCAATTACACAATATCTCACAATCCCCCTCCCCCCACCAATTACTCTCCCTGGCGCTTGGGGCACTGGTTGCTCCCCTCTCTCAGAACAATGATGTTGCTCCACTTGCACGTTTTTATTCTGTATTTTGAACATTTGAGTTTTTTTTCCCTTCTTTTTTTGTGGATTTTTTATGTGATCTTTGGCTTTTGGCCACAAACTGTAACTTGTTTTTTTTAACGTGAATGTGAAATAAATAAAGTAATATATAAGCCAACATTTCTAAAAGTTTTTAACTGCGCCCTCACAGTTGATAAATTTGTGTAAATTTTTGAGAAGTCGCGCGAAATAAACATGGCGGCGTAGGCTAGGGGAGTTTATTTTGCTTTGTTACTGTAACGTTGACGGTCATCAAATAGCTTACTTATAAAAGTCGTAGTATAAGGTGAAATAACCGTTCTTATGAAATATCAGTACATAAAGTGAGCTAGGCTTATAAGTATTAAATAAATGATGACACCATGGCACCATGCAAGCCTCTCCCTCTAATAATCTATGTAGGCTAGGGCCTAGCACAGGGGCTAGGCCTAGCCTAGTAGTAGGTTGCTCTAATAAACTAGGCTAGGCCTAGGAAGTTTATTAAAGCCATGCCGCCTACTGTAGACATGGCTTAGGTAGGTTAGCCTAGGCATAGTAGTAGGCTTAGTCCTAGTTGGTGTAGTTGGGCCTAGCTAGCTAGTTTCACATAATGTGTGTTGAATCCTGTATGAAGGAAAGAGCATAATTAATATAAGGCCACCAGAATGAAAGTTGTAAGTTTGTGTCCGAAAAATTTTGAAAACACATGCTCAAGGCATTTTTTCATTTTTCATTATTCATTATTTTTTTTATAAATGCTGTCCACAAGCTGCGGCATTGGTAATTTTACATTTATTTCCAAGAAACAATGCTTACAATCATAATTAATGTACACTAGCCTATAAAACAGATCCTTTTCTACATTTAAGACCTCTTTAAACATACAAGATTTCCTATTGGTCAGAAAGATCGATTTAACCCGTAAATGACCTCAGCAGTGATCGGCGATCATGGTGCGATGTGGCCAGGCCTGCCTTCGCTCGGTGTTCGCTACGAGTGATCAGTGATGAATAGATCGTTTTTCTGTCTGTTTACGACTTAGAAAGTCCGTTTTTTAAAACGAAGTATATTATTTTTTTTCAAAATAATGAAAATTTTCGTGTGGTAGCTTTTTAGGCATGCGGGCAGTGGACGCAAACCTACAACTTTCATTCCTGTGGCCTTAAAATAAAATGCATTTTTTGAGAAGTTTTTAGTTCTAAATATTTTGAATAAGTTTTAAGTACCTTATTCTAATTGAAATCCAAGAAATATGGGTATATTTATTCAATAAAACAATAACAAAAAAAACCCAGTTCATTGCAGAATATGCTGAATTGTGTAACTGAATATAAAATTACAAAAGTTTAAAAATAGGAATAATCAGCAATTATAAATTTACGAATCAATTATAATATTACTAAATTACTTTTTAAAATTTTAGTAACTCACATAAGATACCTTAGTATAAAACATACTCCAAAGACTCGTCATTGTAATTCAATATTTTAATCTTTTATAAGATCATCATCAGGAATGAATAATGTCAACATTACAAACAGATATTCTAGATGTTATAATTTTTGTGGTATACAATGTATGAGACAAGTTAATGTTTAATAAAACCTTAGTCTTTATTATAATCAGTCTCTATGCTGTGAAATTCTGTTTATAACTTATATTGGCGAATACGAGTAATGTGCTATACTTGGAGTCTACGTTGAAGCTACCGAACGTAAAGGGAGTTGAAACTTAACTGTACATTGCATTGTTTACGTTTCTAACGCAATAAGCTATATGTGTAAATGTTGTTTTCTCATGTATAAAGTAATTTTTTGTTGCATTTATATGTGTACAAACTAAGTGTTAAATGCTATACATTATAAAATTACAATTAATGAAACCTGATAAACAGCCCAACTTACTGTTAAATTATGTCTGACAGGTTAAGCATGGAACAAGAGAATTCCACAAAGCAGTTATCCATAGACTGCAAGGAACCAGTAACTTGTGTGGAATTCTGTCCGTTCGAGACAGCGTCTCATCTAATTGCCATTGGGGGTAGCATGAGGATTTTAATTGGTACTTGTGTGTTTCCAGTAAGTTAACTTGCAAGTTGATATTTATATAGTTTAAATTAAATTTCATTTCCAGCTTTTATTTCATAATTATTATTTCATAATCTATATTTAAAAACTATGTGATTCCTAAATTGAAATGAATGTTAAATGAACCTCTAAGTTGATAAGAAAATGTTGGCAACGTAAAAATGGTGATTACCAAATTATTAACAGACGTGCATTTTATCGTTCATTAGGAAGAAGATAAGGATCGTGATGCATTTGAATTTCGTCAAGTTAATGAATTCCATCATGGCTGCCGTGTGGATGCCATTTCATGGAGTCCAAGGACAAACCTTGACTGTCTGCCAAGGTGTCTACGGTAATAACATCACGACAATCTCATAAAGTAATTGCACCTAGGCAATAATCTTAAGAGCATTTGTGTTAAAAGGACTTCCCCCTCCTCAGTTCAGGATACATCAACCCAGAGAGTCTGATTAACCTTAATATTGGTTGTAAAATGTTATAAATATTTTGCAAACATATAATTTTCTTTCCTTCTAAATTGACTCAAAACTGATAGTTAAAATATATCTTTTGCAAAATAGGATAGTTTAGTAGACACATCATTTTGCAAGACTGGGTAAGTTTGTTATACATACATAGCCATCAAACTTCTTTTATTAGCTTTGTTACCATTACAACACTGAAAGATGCAATGGGTCCTTTTATTTAAAGGTGCACACAAGCCAGTACATTAGACCTTCTCTGAAAGTCCTTAAGCGAGAATATATGGTTTTACCAGCCAGATGTGGAAGAGCAGTGTATTGAACCAACGGCGAACGCTTACTGTAGCCATGTCCCTGCCTTACTGTTCGGCCACTCGATTCACCCAGACTACAAACTAACAATGTTCCTCAACTTCCATTGAGCGTTAAACATTTAAAAGTACTAGGCCTACATGTAATTTTTTTTTCTTGTAGTTTCTGTACAGCAGGTTCTGATTTCCGTTTGCGTTTATTCACTTCTGATCTTAAAGAAGACAACACAGTTCAGGTGAGAAACAAATAAGTGTAAATAATAACAAACCAAAATGAAATACTGCAAGTACAATCCTTGTAAGTTAAGCAACCATACCCTTTGATTATATCTCCATTTTTGTATGTTCATATAGGTTCTTGATGGGCACAGTGATTACATAAACGAAGTTGGCATAGAGACACTGGAAGGCGATTTGATAGCTAGTGTTTCTGATGACTGCACGTGTAGAACATGGGATCCATTTGGACAACAGAAGGCATTGTTCCCACTAAAATCCCAGGGAATGTCTGTTAACTGGCATCCACATGATCCAATGAAGGTTTGCATCAAAGTGGCATTTCAAAAAGTTTAGGTTGTTACCATTCTTCATGTGCTCTCCATCCAGAGATTGGCTATTATGTAGCATGTGACCACATTAGAAGTGCCCATTGGTTAATTTGATGTATTGAAACTTACTGTATTGATTATTACTGTACATCAGAATGTGATACTGTTACATTAATATAGTTTTTCTGACCTGTCACAACAGGGCCAGGAATATGCGCATGTCTGTCAAACATGCATTTACATAGGCTTATTTTGTTATTTTGTTAGCAACAATATCCAAATGGGCGGGGCTAACTTTGTGGAGTGGTCCAATACAAAGGTTAAAAATTTATTTTCTCCGTGAAGTAAATTTTTAATTTTTATAAAGGAAATTTGAATATTTCTTTTAGCTTATGGTGGCTGAGAAAGGTGGAACAATTCGGTTCTATGACATGAGACTTGAAGAGCCAATAATGACACTTGATGCTGGACCTGGAATGTTGCTCTCTGCTAATTGGTGCTGGGATGATACAGCCTGTGTTGGTGCTGTTGTCAATGGTGATTGGATGATATGGGATACATCAAATTCAAGGCAAAAGATAATGTTGAAATTAATCCAATGCTTCAGGGCTAGCTCAACATTCCAGAACATAAATCTCAATGATCTATTATCATTCACCCAAATCATTCTGAACATTCACTGAAAATAGCATAACTGTTTCTCAAAATTCATCCAAATATTCTGAACTATCCATCACAAAAAGTGTACAGTACAGGTAGATTATATATAGGATTTAATAACATTGTCTTTATTTGCTTTCCAAAGCCAACTATTCCATTCTGTCTTGTTTTTAGTCAAGCTATAGAGATCCAGCGTGCACATTCTGAGAAAGGGCGTTATATACGTTGGTGCCATAGCAGTTCCAGTCTTTTTGCGACCTTAGGTCAGCCTAATAATCAGTTGAAGATCTTCCACTTGGATCATCATCAGGTACAGACTATAATCCAGTTTTAAACTTTGTATTCAAATGTAAACTTACCTGAATAACTATCTTCAAATTATGTCACAAAAGATTCTGACAATGATATATCAGAGACTTCTAATTGAGACAAATTATCAAGGAAAAAAATGCTTGATTAAATACCTACATGTCTTGTACCGTAATGAATTTATTTTGCTTTGTGTATTTTTAACCTCAATTTTTTTTGTCCAAGCTGTATTTTGGCTGCAGGTGAAGTCCTTCGTGCATAGAAAACCAATTTCCTTTTTGTACCTGTTTTCTAGAATTAAATTCCAAGTTGAATAAAATCAATTAAATTCAACACTTGAGGCATTTTCATCTACAATTTGTCTTCTTTTTGTTATCGTTGGCCATCAATGGAATTGACAAAGCTGCTGCTGCTGGGCCCTTGACCATTAATCTGCCAAATCCTCTGTTACTGCTACAATGATGATAAACTACTCTGATGGTGGACATTGACTATTTAAATTTTGCCCAAAGCATGTATCAATCATTCTTCACTTTTGACCTTGACCTAATAGACGTTTGTTTAACCTTTGACCTAGTAGCAGAACTGTGGTGATAACACCCAACTTTCAAAATAAAATAAATTTAATTGTTTATAAACATTTATTTATTTATCTGAAAGCAGTGATTTTGTTTGTTGATTTTCAACCTTTTTTTTCCAGGTTCCAATCAAATTCAATTTACCAGTTCAAGGAGGAATAAGCTGGCATGCTTTTCTCCCTGTTTGTGCTGCTGGTGGAAACAGAAAAGTTCATCTATTTACTGCTGAACTTTGAACTTTGACACAATCAGGTGACTGACTGAACAATGCGGATTGTCTAAACAGTGATGTATTTCATGTCCTCATAGGCAATGATGTCACACAAAGTCATTGAAAAATTGCAAACAAATGATATAGCGGGAATTCAATGGAGTTGGCATTACCTTAATCACTGGCTGTTTCAATTTGGCGGATTGATTGTGTAAAAAACATCTGCCGGATAAAGATCGTGTATCTCTACTGACTACTACCCTTGCTAAGTTGAATTTGTGTGATGGATAGCATCTATACAGCTTAGACAATATTAGGTAAATGTTGTAAAGTAAAATTAACTCAATACCTAGTCAAGCAAATGAATGTTTCAAGACATGCGCAAAAAAAAACATCATGTTGTAGAACTTTTTAAAATAAAAACATCATTGACAGTAAAATTCACCTGCAGATGGTCTGAAAGTCAGTTTGCAATTAGAATTTGAAAAACAGAATAACCTTTTCAAATAAAGTAATGAAAAATCAAGTAAACCAGTGTAAAGTGCTTTATGTTTATAACATTGAAACAAAGTAATCATTAAAACACTGATGATGTAACATTAAATTATTACTGTATAATTTTTTTCCTGCAATGCAGGTCATTGTGAATGTGGCATATTCACCTTTAACATCCGATCCTGTTTATCCATTCAGTACTTTTCACAAAGTGTGGTTGCTGTCTCTGGAGCATTTCCCACAATAACTTCACAACAATATCATGATGTTGATTTGAACCCTAGCATTATACCACTAATCCTAAGGGAGCTTGGCTAATCTACCGCTTTTGATGATCCAAATCCTATTGTGAGTTGGCAGTGTGTGAAAAAGTAGATATAGGTCTCAGCCCACCCAAGTATAATTTGTACAATAGTGCATGATTTATGCATATTTCTAATGTATTTATTGACAATAAAAAATAAATACCAAAACTGGGAGCAATCTTGTTACATATTCATTTCAGTAGGGGACAGTTTTAATGATGCATAGTAATGATAATTGTTTTCTATATTTCTATGAGTTTATAGTGGACCACCGTTTGGTGTCTATTTAATGTTATTTATGTATCGATTTGAAAAAATATAAAAAAATACTACTGCAAGTTAGGGCACTGAATGTACAGTCATTGGTCTGTGTACAAGTAGGAATACCCTTCATTAAATCCATTCCTGCTTTCCAAAAAATGTAACAGTTATCACTACACGACGTAGCTCTGGGGCAATTAGAAGGCTCTACAACTTGTCGGCGAAGAACCAGCAAAGTCGAATCAAGTTCCACCCTCCTGATTTGCCGGTGACAAATTTTAACCACCGATGAATTATCCGCCAACGTCATTAAACGTCGTCAACGCAGACTCAATAAAATTTTAAAATATTAGCCAAATTATTCATTGTATAAAGAGCTAACCAAACCAATGCATAGGACCTAGCTCAAACGAAAGATTGTTCCATGTATAAACTGTAACTTGTGTGCACATTTGTGCTTGTTTTCAGAAAATTGTTATTGAGAGTCGTGAGCAGCTATTGGTGAACAAAAATGACAACACTCTGTAAAGAAATCAACAATAAATATTTTTGTTTGTACCAACGAGAAAACTAAAAATATACTGAACAATTTTACTGACATTACTTTTTTATTCAAAGTTTTCACTGCCACAAAATTAATATTTAAAAAAGGTACAGAGAAAACTAAAATGCTATAATGTACAATAATATTAATAACAATAATATAATAATAATGCTATAATGTACAATACATTTCTACAAGGTTTTGTAAATCTCATTTTTGTTACTTAATTTATACATTGATTTTAATATGTGGCATGTACCTGAATACACAATGTGTTTTGAAATTAATAGTATCATAATTAAAATACTTCGTTTCATACCTTTTAAAACAAGTAATTTAAACAATATACAATGAGAGTATATCTCAAGACATTATATATAAAGATGTAAGATAAGAATAAAAGGAAAATACTTTGATGCATATTCATGAGATATGATAGTTACTATAGAAACAGTTCCCCCTGCGAGTCACACACAAAGACTTCCTCAAAGATGCAATTAATAAAAAAGAAATATAAAATATGTATGTTTATTCTATTTAATGTAATCAATCTTTCATTAAAAACTATAATTATCAAGGACAAAAAAACTAATGTTCAATAAAATTGAATTCTGATTCAGGTCATGTGACATGCAAGAAGCACACAAATATGGACACCCATATCAAGGTGATGTAGAGGTACAACATCCCAGACACAAACAATGCACACATCTCAAATCATCTTCCAGATGTGAAAACATGAAAAGATCATTCCGACAGATAAGCCTCCAACCTGATCACCTTCAACCTTAAATTTTAGTTTAATATCACTTGTAAGCTGTCTGCGGAGGGATCATAAGTACAATTATTATAGCCATAAGGCTTGGGAACATTAGGCATATGGAAGTCATCACCTTAAACGAGATTTTGCATGACTCAATCCTGTTTTCAAATTCCTTTAACTTATCTGATTTAAAATTGTCATATTTAAGTATAGTTCACTGTGGAAGAGTAAAGAAGAATGTATTTACAGGCTGCATTGAATACCTCTCATCCCTGGCATGCAAAGATGCAAAATACCTACAAAATGTCACAATATTGGAGTTTGGCATTTCTTTCACATAATTTAACATAATATTTGTATATGTACAAAAAAATCAAGGAAAAAAGTATATATATAAAGTTCATCTTGTTTAGAAGAATAATAATTACGGTATTTGACTGTTTTCACCGATAAAATAAAATCTCATGTTTTGAAATCATGATTTAAGCAAATTCTTTTAGCAATCTTTAAATTTATACTTTAGGTATTTTTTTTATGAAAGAATTCACGAGAAGGATGCAATTTATAAATGATTTATAGTAGTATTTATTAAAGAATTAATATTTAATCACTTATGCAGCAATTTTATATGTAGCCAATTTTTAATGGAAGAGTCACTGATATTTAGCCAGGCAGGTCAGTGTGCAGCAAAAGAGATGGGATTACTCTCATGTAAAGCCAAATATGAATATTAAAATAGAGAGACTGACCCTGGTAAATTGACCAAGGCAATCAGCATGAAATACAAATGAAAATATGATAAAAGTTGACTACAAGATAAAACCGAAGAAGCTCAGTCCTCAGACAATATTCTTATACCTGAAAGCTTGAGCATGTTCTCTTAAGTTGCTCTGCCATGTAAAATATTAATTTCACTTAATGGACATTTTATAGTGTACATGGCAACATAGGAAATGCTAATCAATACCTGTAGAACAGGCGTGCCCAAGCATTATAATTAAATTAATCATTTTCGAGAATCAACAATAGTATTTTTATTTTTTCTTTTAAAGAAAAAGTGCATTAGGCTAATAATAGAACTGTATGTGAATCTGTATGAAGACACTGTTGGGACACCATTTAGCACAAATTTGCTTCATCTCAACTTCCTGTACAACAGCTACTATAAGCACTACGTGTGAATTTTGGTCGATGACGTCGGGATCCCTGAATGCAAGTGTCCACTGACAATATAAGTATGATTCTGTCCTGCCCGCATCAAAAAAACCGTCCTGGAGCATAAGCATGTTTGTCATGTTTCGGTCGCGATTAGGACTCCAATCCCCTAGGACCAAGTTCGTCACTAGGGTCACCTCTGCCATTATGTTAATCTCGACACATGCTTCAACCAGATGTGTCAATGCCTGCCCTCAATGTTCACATCAAAGTTTATCATATCTGTGAGTGCAGTGAAGTGTTCACATGTCTGCAAGCAGAAGTTAATGATATTCCTGTGATGCCTACAAATGAGCAGGCAATCTGGCTAGCAGACATTTTCTTGCAACAAAAGAGCTTCCAAACATCTGAAGATATTGTGCTCGCTCGAAACCAAGATTTGCGGAACATCAAAGCTCCCTGCTTCAATCCGGTAACCAATTACTTCACTATTGCCTTCTTCTATTTAGTAGACAATTTTTGACGTTTTTGAACAACACTCAGAAATTTTCATTAGTGTCTTTTTCACTCGAAGTGACGAGTGCCTGGCAGATGCAGTTTGGTACCAGCATTCCTTCATCAGTTTGGCAAGAGATGTGAGTGTCTGTGGGGAGATGGATAAATCATAAAGAAAGTTCAATTTCAAATTGATATCAATATAAGGAATTACAAATTTTAACTTTTTAGAAATTTTTATATTACTCATTTGGGAGAAAAATATGAGGCATTAGACTAATTCTGATTGAATTTTTTTTTCATTAAGCTGTGGTTCCAGAACAAAACTGATAAATGCCAAGACATAACATATGTTACAATTATCACTAAGACGATCATCTCCAGAGATTATCTTGTCTATATTTGTCAACAGAAGCAGTTGAGTGACAGTTCAGATTTTATTTTTACACATTTGCGACGAGACAATGAGGGTCCACCTCTGAGCGAGGGCGCAATAAATTACAAACAAAAACCAGATGAATCTATCTTGTTATGTACGGTAACTAAACCAAATTTTAGGGGAAAAATTCATATAGACCTCTCCATCTTGCTACTTTACAATAAAAATCTTTGTTAATGCAAGCAAATACAACCATTTAAAATTTAACAACTTGCATATGATTTTATTATTCATTTTTATTAATGTTTACATTTCTGAAAGGGCTTGGAAATCATGGTAATAAACCGCCAATTAGTGCAATTAGTGTTAGCAATGAAAATAAGAGGAATGATTGGAAATGACTTACTGGATCTGTGCACCATCTGTTGTGAAGTGTGGGTCGTAACTTCTCTACACAAACCACTTTTCTCATGTATTCAAAACTGGGATCATTTGGCACATATTCATAAAATGGTGGTTTATATTCCTCGCACAAACCTGTGGAAATATTGCAAAGGCATTGAAAGCAACACTGTTAATAAATGCATAAATATAACATAAAATAAAACTTGTTTACTTTTTTTGAAACATGTGCAAATGTTGCATTTGGTGTGTTCGTTTCATAAATCATTTGATCTTATAAAATAATACATCCACAATACTCATTTTTTTTTTCATCATTAATTTTATTTCTTTTATTTCCATGATAAGTATAAAGATGAAACTTTGTTTTCTTGGTTATACATAAGGGTATAAGCAAATTTCATGGTGTGTGGGACTGTCATACTTACATGTATGCGGGTCTGTCAGTGTTTGTAGGTCTGTCAGTGTGTGTAAGACTGTCATTGTGTATGTATCGGTCAGTGTGTGTGGTCTGTCAGTATGTGTGGGTCTGTCAGTGTGTCTGGATCTGTCAGTGTGTGTGGGTTTATCGTGTGTGGGTCTGTCACTGTGTGTGGTTTGTACGTCTCCCTGTTGTTCTCTTTAATATTTTGTAAGAGTATCTGCATACAAATACAAGTAAATGCCTAAGAATAGGACATGCTTGTGTGTTGATGGGTGTGCTCGTCTTTGCTCATCAAACTCACCTCCAATCTCACATCGCCTTCCTACTTCCCATAAAACCATTCCAAAGGCATAGACATCAGCTCTTTTGAAAGACTCAAAGCTTTCCATATTCATTGTCTCATCCAGCATTTCTGGTGACATGTATCTCTTGGTTCCCACCTTATGGTTGGATCCAACATTAATGGTGTCAGAACCTTCTGAGTGTAGTACAGCAAGGCCTAAGTCTGCAATACAACAAGTTAGATTGTCCCTTACTAATATATTCTTTGTTTTAATGTCTCTATGCGCGATGGCCGGCTTTGTCCTATTACACTTGATCTCTGTGTGCAAATGAACCAATCCACTTGAGGCAGACAACAGCAGACGACACATCAATGGAGGGTCTAAAATGTTCCGATTCAAGAAATCATACAGTGAACCTAGCGGATGGTAATGTGTAATCAGCCATAGTTGAGTGCAAGAGTTACGAGACGTCATATCAGATGCGATAAAACCAAGAATATTATCATGCCGCAACAACACTGTGTTATAAATCTCTGTTTCTCGTATCCAAGATTTTTCGTCTCTTGAACTGAATATTTTGACAGCGACACTCTCACCCTGCCATTGTCCTCTCCAGACTTCACCGTATCGTCCTTTACCTGAAAGACGAATTAGATGTGAAATGTTAAGAGCAAAGTATTTATCAATGTTCTCATCATTATGACCTGCAATGACCTTTGGACATTCAGTTTATGTTAGTGACATACATTTAAATTTGTTGGTAATAGTATAATTACCTACAACAAATACATAAAAATTTATTTGATTATCCTGCCAAAGAAAACTCAAATTTCATGACGCTATTGGCTGTCTATTTAATATCCTTCCATCTTCTGAAAAATGTGTCATTCCAAATGCATAGCTATTATATACATTAAACCATCTTCTATTAAATGGTATAAAATATGTAGATGCTGTCATGCAAAAATGTATGTATTGTCATGGAAACAAAGTGTGTTTTCATGGAACCAGCCAATCCAATAACTTATGTAATCATGGCTGATAAATACTATGATTATTCTGGAATCATTTGTTGCTTCGGTAATGATGCATCATGCTTTGGTAACCGAGCATATTGCCCTAGCAACAATCCATGCCGTCATGGTGATAAAGTTCTGTGATCATGTTAAATCCGCAAATGAAATTCCTGAGTATGATCTTTTAATGTGAACAGGCTTATGCAGACTTAGGCTGACCTACGCTAGGCTATATGCTGCTGCATCAGATTTGACAGTTTAAGTGCTAAGTAAAATTACCACTACATAAATCAAGAACTCCTATAGTCTCTACTTGCTTGTATTACAAATGAGTAGAGATAAATAGCATGGAGAATAAGCAACATAAAACTAGAGGTAATCAGTAAATTTATGGATCATCAACTCTCTCTATAACGCAGCATTCACAGTTTTATGTACTAAGTTATTGTATTGACTGATAATGAATGTCATACACTACATATATTTTAATCACTAATTACTAATTGTGCGTAAATATCTTTTGAATATATTCTTTTAAAAATTTCCCTGACATTTTCACATATTGTAAGAAATCAATATCAAATTTCCTTTTCCCCATTTAATCAAAAGCAATAAAAACTTTAAAATGACAAAGCTTGGGAGGGGTGACGGGGGAATTATTGCAATATCATTCACCTGCTTTCTGTTGTTGTATCTTTCTCAATTCCATTACTTTTAAAATCGCATCCTCACTTCTTATATGAAACTTTAGTTGTTTGTTGATTAAATAAACTATTTCAATATTTAATCAGTAAATCCAGTTGTATTGTTTATCACAGAATATTGAATTTTTGACCAGTCACCAAACAACAAAGCTCTATTCAAATCATTGCCAGAAGAGATTTATTAATTATAAATAATAATAATTTCTACAATAATCTTCCTATACATCAATATGACAGTGGTAATACCATAATCCAGGAATACTAATAGAAACTTGACCATAATTTGGAAAATGCTGGCTGAGGATTATTAATGGCAATTAACAACAATAACCAATTTATCAATATGGTATAATTTGACTTCCCCAGATAAAATCTTCTGGTGTATGATAGAGATTATGAGATTGGATTTGTGAGAGTTGTGGGTTATAATTATCTGAGTAACAAGTACCAAAAAAAAACTAAGATTATTAAAAGGGATTTATGAATTATGGATATTCATGCATACATTGGTTTATGAAATTATAGGGAATTTTGTTGGGATGATCCAAATGGATGCTCATGGGGTTTTATAAGATGTAAGATTATAGCAAGAGATTTAGGGTATTATAAGAGATTACAAGATAATCACAAATGATTTATGTGATGAAATAGTGTAGGTGCATGTAGGCCTATAAGGTTTTTGATATGAATAGCAGAAGTGATTTACTGGATGTGTATATCTACATTTTATTTTATTATACATTTTCTAAAGAGATGGGATTATTAAAAATTATTTATGGGATAAGATTACTGCCAACAATTTATAATTTACAAGAAACTGATTTATGAGATGAAAGTATCACAAGTGATTTACAAGACGACTTTATTATAGATTTATGAGATTAATACAAGTAATTTATGAGATGAGATTATCCAAAATTAATGAGATTATTACAATTGATTTGAGATTAGATTATGATTAACTGACTTATGAAACATAATCACAACTGATTTATGATTAATAGTGCAAATGAGGATTATTGTAATCATGTGTTTATGAAATTATCACATGTGATTTATGAGATCATGAGTGAATTATTAATTAGAACTATCAAAACTGATTTGAAGTAAGATTATATCCTCTGATTTATGAGATTATCACATAATAAAATGAGATTTGTGAGATGGATATTCTTGATGTTGTAACACTTACCAACTTGTTCAACTAGAGTAATTTGTCGAGCCACTGTTCTTTGTACCAAGAAAGGCAGACCAGATCCACTCCCTGACGTACATGAATGATCGAACAGGTCCTAGAAAACAGTATAATAACACAAATATTTAATCTCTGTATTTTTGAAACACATACTTACATTGCAATAATGGTTTTCTCCTGTCTTGAGATCTTGTGTGTACAACTAATTCAGATTAACTGAGAGAATATTTAAGTTTTCTTCGCAACTAAAACATGGATAGTACACAATATTTGTTTGCATCTCCCCTAATCAACTTAGAGATGTCAAGATAAGTTCATTGCTCTGATGTGTTAGTGTTATTGAATTTCATAAAGCACAGGTGCTAATATCTCTCAATTTCTTCCATTCGATCTCCAGAGTGTTTGTTCACCCAGGTAACCACAGATTGTACATTCTGTATGTTTTGTCACCAAGTGACGTGAATAGCAATTATGAAATCAAAAGTGACTGTTAGAATGAGAACAAAAGAATTCACACTTTCTTAATATTTCCTGACGTTGTTCCAACATTCATTCATATTCTTTGTTGTCAATAACAACAAGGTACAAAACTATTATTTAGTAGGGGGGCGGACAAACTGCCAAAAGTGATTCTACGTATGTATAGCAATCTGATCATTTCTGGAATGGCAACTTGTGAATTTTAAATTAAGATATAATTAAAATATGTTTTCCCTATTTTTAAATCAATAATATAATTATTATTATTAATAATAAATTTTTCTCCAGCATTTGGTATTATCATTTGTAATGTTAGTATTCTTTTGCACAAACGTCATCATATTGGAGGTTTCTACAAATCCCCCATAGTGTCTTCATGAGGATTCTTAAACAATAGCTAACATCCTTTGTATTCATCCCATGATTGGTTAAAGCATAAGAGGTAATGTGTAGCAAATTTACATATTGAAGCACACACATTTTACTGTATGCACAAATATAATGTTACATGTGGGCCTGGAATTTGCAAGTTCATACAATTCATAACCAAAGCTTAATCACATCAACCTTGGACCCTAGATATCACTGCAAATGCTTACTCTCATCTGACTTACAGTCTTAATTTTAAACACCTGCAAATTAACATTCAGGAGCTTGTAGCATTTCACCATCTAAGATGGATGGGCCCGGTACTCAAGAAAGGCCACAAACAGCTCTCTACATCTATACATTCTTATTAGCCGTAGGCTAAACGACTCTTCATTTAGCCACGCAGCTAATATTCAATCATATTCACAAAGGGATCTGGATAAACATGCTTGAAAATCATCGAGAATCATCACGTAAAGATCAATCTTTTTCCATAAGAAAGTAATATATTTTTTCTAATATCGAATGACAATGAAATGCATTTGGTAAAAACCATTAAAAAAATAGAGATTATCTAATTTTAATGAACATGTGTTAATAATGGTACTTTATAATAATTATATCCATTTTAATAGAAATGATGTTTTGCCCTACTTGACATGTTATCATGCTAAATGCTCAGTACATTCCCAAATACTTGCAAGAAAAAAATTTCGCAATTGATTCGGGTGGGAAAAACATCATTCCTATTAAAATTTCCTGACACAAAAACATAATTGATATACAACTTTAACATTTAATTCAATATAAATATGCATTTGAATATCATAATGTACTATTAATAGATTTATTATTCTTACTTCTAAGTTATTGAATTAATTATTCATATCATTATTTACTAAAATCATGTCACCTTCTTTCATTGCTATGGTAGGTCAAGCTTGCCAGCTGAAGGTCAATAGGTTAGGTCATGACATACTTTGACCTTTGTGAAGGTAGGTCATGCTAGCCAGCTGCAGATAATACTTGCAGATATAAAATTATCAATGAAAGCTCTGGGTCAACAGGTCAGGTCATAACATTTTGTTGACAAGAAGCCATTTTAATTCTTTTGTAACCAAGAAAAAAAGGAAGGTGGCTGCAATCAATAGAGTGTAAAGGGTATTGCAAATAAAGGACATGACGTTACTGGATAAGTCTAGCTTCAAAAACATTATGTTTAAAGCACGCAAGTGTGGTGTGATATTTTTTATCGTAATTTTATCTTACAATAAATGAAGGAAAGAATCAAATAAATGAGGAAGGCACTCAAATTGTAATGACAGCAAAACAGTCAATGATTCATTTAGTCATAAAACAAAAGAAATGGATAAAACTGGGATGCACACTTAAAAAGAAAATGAGAACTTAAACTAACAAAAGGGAAAAGGGAGTGGAATGAAAGTGTATATGATGATGAGCCATGTAACCAAATCTATAAATCTGGGCATTTACAATTGTCAACTGAGTTTCCATTTAATATGTCTTTGAAATTAATTAATTAAAATTCATGGAACAATTTCTCATTCATCCGCCTGTTGGTCATAAAATTTGATGTTAATTATAATGTGTTGAGTAGAGTAAATGCAGGGTTGCTATCAAATGAGTTACTCTTTATTGCAATCTCCACAACCTTGAGTAGCGAGCAGGCATACATGCTCTTGTTGTATGAAACTCTTAATTGTGAATTTTTTCAAAAATAAAATGCCAAAAAGTAAATATATGCCTGAAGTTTCATCAATGAGATATTTTAGTAACTGTAACTGACAGAGTAATTTGTGTTCATCTTGCTTCCTCGGTTACTTCAAACTCGTCATTAAATGTCAGGAGCCTCAGACTCGGTGAGGTCATTCATTTCTCGAGTAATCTCAACTCATTCTTATTCACTACCCGCGTATAGATCTGCTCTTAACGTGACAACGCCAGAAGGGTCTTCGGCTAGTACGATCCATTTATAACTAAATCATGTGTCTCACTGATGACACATAAAAGAGAAAATGCCAGCTTCGACACATAAGAGTAATTTATGCCTTATTTTGACGTTTATAATCACATCAATATCATTTTTGTGTACCTGACAGCGTTAGATTTTTCCTGACGGTCAAATAATTTGAATATTCTAACGGACAGTGTGCAGAGTTCTTGTAATTTATCATTCTTAAGTGAGAATCCGTAATAATTAATTTTCTGGGCAAAAAAAAAAAGGTTGTGGACTTTAGAGTGTTGCTAATATGGCTTGCATTAGATTGGATCCAGTGGCTGTAGCTAGTTTAGCAAACACAATGAAGTACTTTTTTCATTGTAAATCAAATTAAGACACAGTTGAACATGACAGGAACTGCAATGGACAAGTCACAAGGGAACCTAAATGGTTACTAATACACACTGACATATCTTACAAAAACACAGACTGACAATGATTTTAAAAACATCAATTGACAGCAAAAATGAATTTGAAGGATGAAAAATTATCATCATTTTGGCAAATGAATATTTTAATAGAACAAAAGAAAAAGAGTGAAATATGTAAATTTCTTCTGAATGACATCAAATTAAAAAGAGTTTTACTGAGAACTTATGAAAAAGACAAAAAAAAATATTTCATTTGGAGCTTTCATAGTCATAGAATTGAATAATATCCATGTATAAAAATATTTCAATTAAGATTATAGGTCGTTAGATAGTACATTAACGAGTTAACAACAACCTGGCGGGTTATATGTGCACTTAATAGCACATTTCAATTAATAAGTTGTAATTAGGCCACAGACATAGTATAAAGATTTTTCAAGTGAGCACTTGATGAAGATGGATGTGTGACAATGCCTAGCCATTTAAATTTTTTATTTTCATAATATATGTAAGACTTTTTTGAAGTAATGGACCACATAATTTTGGGAGCCTGGTATTTATAATTAACAATAAGCTATAATTATGATGATTAGATAATCATATGATTGTGCACAAACGTACAAAATAGTGTAAACATATTTAAATAATATAAATCGAAATAATTTAATGACCAATCAACCCCCCACCCCCCAAAAAATATGTATGCCTTATAGTATTATGTATGTAGTAGTATAAGTAAAGGTTGAAAATACAAAAAAATACCCATTAATTGTAAAATATATTAAGGTACTCTACAAAAATGAATTAATTTTACCAATGGAAACACTAAGAAGAATAAATACCTTAAGTGTACTGTCCCCGGCCGGCACTGCTCGTAACTCATGGGGGTGTCGGTGGGCCAGTTCAGGGTCCACCATCGATAACTTTTGCATGTGCTGTTTGTGTTTGTGACGGAACAGACACAAGCAAATCAATACAAGACACATAAGAGCTGCAAATGGGCCTAAGATAGAGGTGGCGAGTATTGGAATATTGTACCCTGCCACAGTGCTGTTACCACCTTCAAGAGAAAAAAAAAACAAAAAAAAACAAACATATTTTTAGGGTGATGTAAATCTAAAATAAACATTAAAAATTAAATGAAATTACTTAAATTTGCATAATAAATATTGGAAAGCTAGATACTGTATGCTATAAATTTTATGATACAGATATACTTAAAATGTGAACAGCATTATCATTTTTATTACAGTATAAAAAAAAAATCATCATCATTATTATTATTATTAACCAAGCAAATATGTGAAATTCAGAAACTAAGAATACATGACAGACGATATATCAAATACAGCTTTACTCTGATAAATAGATAAATAGGTGTTAATCCACACACTGTCTTTGAAGATAACCCCGGTGAGTTGCCGTTCAACTACTAATAATACGTCCATGCTGCCTGACACAAACTTAATGGGGCAATCTCAGCACTATACAGGGTAATTTCATCTAGGTTTTTTCTTACTCATTAACATTAAATAGATTCACTCTCCCTACGGTATTATTACTTCCACACACTGACATTACAAATCAGGTGAAAGGATTCAGCTCGCTAATAAGGATGAAAATATTACACTTTTTAGAATATAATCTGAAAATTTGTCAGTATTTCTAACAAATGTTCATTGCATTGATAATCGTTCTTATAAATTCACAATTGCAGGAAATTTAACAACCCAACAATGTACACTAAAAGAAGCATACTGTTATATTATCTTCATAAGGGACTTGTCTAAGTCTAGATTATATTTCTATCACCACATTTAATGTTTGCATCATATATATTTTACCTGAGTTTGATGGTGGAGGGGTCGGTGTAGAGGGCGACGCAAGTGTTAGAGATACATTTGCATTACACATGTTACCCTGACAGCAGTATACACTTATTTCCTTATGTCCTCCTGATTTACAAACAAGTATAGTTTGTGAACTACCATCAAGACATCCCTGAGAAAAGAAATGAAAATATTCAACATTTAGTTCTACAAAAAAATAAAAGACCAACAAACAGAAAAATGTTATTGCAAATTATTTATGCCTTTCAATGTTTATCTCTTAAATCATCCTTAGTGAGTATTTTTTTATTTATTTATTTATTCTCAATATTTTACCAGGGTGGCCCAATCAGTCAAAGAGACTGGTCTCCCTTGGGTCCCTGGGTACAAAATATTTTTAGACAACAAAAACTTAACTAAAAATTTACACATTTACGTACATACAATAAAAGATAATTAATCTTACACTAATGATTAATTTTAATTGCTTTCAATTTTCAAAGCAAGGTTCAAACCCATCAATCCCACTAAAATGGTACTATAGTATATTTACGGTTTCCTTAACCCGCCCCTGTGATGGTGGGCAAGATTTAAAGGTCGTTGAACACGACCTGCCGGAAAGACACGAGGCATTTTTGAAGATGACATAGCTGCCTGCAACTACGTTTCCGTCATGCACTCATAATTAGCGAAGTTTTCCAAACTAAGTTCTTGTCCATTTTGGACTTGTTTCAGTAATTGATCTGCAGATTGAGATTTATACCTTGCAATGTAATATTATGCCACAGTTAATTACGCTATACTGATGCTAGTGCTCCTTAATCATAGAATCACATACACACAGAAAAGAAGAACGAAACACACTAATCGCACTCATTTTTAAGCATCATGTCTCAGAATTCCTCAATTCGTCTAATCATGCACAACCGCTGCCCGTATGACGGTTCAATTCTATGACCTATCTTTGCCGTAACTTCCAAGAGAGGTTTGACCGGAAGAAAACTACATCACAAGTAGAAATACTGTATCATGGAAGATTCACAAGTTCAGCTGGAGCTGCGTGAGCATCCAATCATCCCCTCTCATTTTAAACTGTTGACCTCATCATATAGCATTTACCTAGACAAGACCTTATGGATAACTATTCCCTATTGAGGACTACATCAATTGTGACTATGTGCATTCATAGAACTAAACTACAAATAGTACTTGCTATACTTTATATCTGTCTCTTATACACATCTAGATGTGTATAAGAGACAGGCTTTACTCTGATAAATAGATAAATAGGTGTTAATCCACACACTGTCTTTGAAGATAACCCCGGTGAGTTGCCGTTCAACTACTAATAATACGTCCATGCTGCCTGACACAAACTTAATGGGGCAATCTCAGCACTATACAGGGTAATTTCATCTAGGTTTTTTCTTACTCATTAACTACAGTATTTATTCTGTCTCTTATACACATCTAGATGTGTATAATAGACAGGTACATATATACTCATTAGGAGTACTACCATTTATATCTATGAACTATGTACACTACTTTGTTAATTATTGATCCAAATTCAGAAAATCAATTATTCAACAAATATTAGTACTGGTATGCTATACCGCTATTGGTTATTATCAAGCAATGCATCATTTTAAATGCAATTACTTGATTCATGAAGACAGGCTGCCAATCATTTCTCACTTGTTAACTGCCAATCATCTGTCAATATTATCCATATCTTTGAATAATTAACAAATTTCATTTTGAATTTAGAAGTAATGATTACAACATAAATTCATGTCATAAATATATTTGTCTGTCACAAAAATTCACAGATGTTACAAGACCATGAGGGAATGAGGTCTTGTGTTGATCAGCATGCAATAGTCATAGAACATCCACAGTTGAGCTGGTGTATCAGATACCTATAAAAACATACCAAACCTGGTGCCTGCATTTTGGAACTCTATACTGTTGTTAGCATGGAAGCAGCCTGGTATTTTCCACGCAGGCAGATGCTACGAGCAAGTTTCGCTCCATATCTGTGTCATCTTTTTAAAATTCCTGTATCTTGCTTATATAAATGGATTCTTTTTCCGGTCGTGTCTTTTTGATGCCGAGTAGACATCTGTCTCATCCGTGTATAAATTTTAATTGTTATTGTTTAGCGATTCATTTTTCAACACAGTTTCCTGTTGACCCTCTTAAACATTAATATAACAGTACATTTCAAAGGACGCTAAGAACATCTGCACTACAACAATAGAGTTCAAAATTGGTTCAAGAATGCAGTTACTAACAAATCAATTTCAATTCAATTCATAGGGTTAAAAAATTAATATATAATTTTAAATACAAATTTGTCAAATGGTAACAATTTTACCTTTAAATGAAGTCCACTGACAATATTACAACATGCAATGACTTACCGAAATTTTTATACGAGAGCATGAAATCAGAATTACCATTACCATTACTCCTACTCTTTATTCTGCTCTACTTATAAATCTCCATGATGTATTACTTGAAAATAAATCTAAGAAGTCATTTAAGATTAATATTTTCCAAGAATGATAAAACGAGGAAATAAAAGGTTCTCGGTTGAAAGAGACATTTGGAATAATTTCTAAATAATTCATTTTTACGGTTTGCTACCTTCCGATAAAGAGACAAGAATAGAATATATGACCAACTGACAAAATAAAAAAAGACTTAGAACTGTGCCACCTGACAAAATAAGATGAAGGATGAAGCTAAAGATAATAGAATGAAAAGGAGATAAATGACAATACTTGGCCTATTGCTCACATTCTCTTAGTTGTTAGTCTAAGACTAAATTACATAGAAATTCCTATGATGTTGAACAAATGGCAATAATGTTGATATTATTGATTTCTCAAATGGTTTAAATATGAAGTGCTGTAATAATGACATAGAAAAAAAATCAAAGTAGTACTACAGTATTTATTCGCATAAATGCCCCACCTTGAATAAATACCCCCTCGAATAAAGGCCCTCCAGAGCCTCATTTGGAATAAACGCTCCCTCGAATAAACGCCCTGTTGTTTATTTCGTTTCTACAATAAACGCCCCCTAAACGACAATCCTTCTCAACAATAAACGTTTTTAGAAGGTATATATCCAAAACTCCCATACACTTTCCATCTTTAACTTACTTTTAAATGTTGCTTAAATAAAATAAACAAACTTCAGAATAATATTGAATATAAAATGTTGTAGTCTTCTGATTATCATCACGACATCATAAACCAATTGTTAATCTTGTTTTCAAAACAGGATCATCAAACAATCAATCTTAAAAAGATGCTTTCGAATTAAAATATTAATAATAATGCTTTCAGAAAAGTAAATGAGAAACATACATTTATAGTTTAAAAACACATAAAGCTAAGGTAATGAAATTGAGAAGAAAATTCTCATCGCATTTCAGTAATCATTTCAAAATTTCACACAAATTAGAAACTACCGCAAAGGAAGAATAATTTTATGTTCAGTGCCAGGTAAGACATTGACACTATTTCGTCTCAATCACAATCCTACAAATGTTTTATAACACTTTCGTACAATTTAATGAGCGGGTCGTAAGACTGCTATAGCGTGCAATTTGATGAGCTAAGCAATCTAGTCTAAGATGAAATCACTACTAGGTCGTGGACATCAGTCTTCTTGAAAGTATTTGCGTTTCACAGATTCATTTCTTCTTGCAATTCAAAGACGTAAATCTGGTTTAAAGTGTTGCGTCCTCTGAGAGTTAGCTAGAAAGAAAATCATGCAACGACTGTATCATGTGACACAGGTTATACAAGCTTAGACAGATATCCGATGAAGCAATTCGGAATTGTTTCTCCAAAGAGTACTAACTTTGATTTTATTTTTTTGAATAATATTTTCTTAAAATATTCTTTTTATTACCACCATATAAGGCAGAACTGTGCACTTGCTGCAGGTCATAAATATTCAAAAAGTAAAATAGAGTTAAAAAAGTAGACTTACAGTAACTTATAAGTAGTATGAAAGATAACAACAATTTCAATATGAAAAAATATATTGTGTAAATTTTATAAATTTACTAATTACATGATGACTAATTAATTCATGACTCAGCTACTACAAGAAGTTGTAGTTGTGCTGGTTGTCCACTACTTCAGGTCTTAGGCTGCTGGTAATGCTGACAATTACAAGGCATTGACTGACAAGGCATCCACTAAGGCCAAAACAAAAACTTACTGTGTTGGCCACGCCCGACCGACCCAAATTTTACGAAATTCAGGGTCGGCATATTAGTTTTTTTGTTTTTTTTGGTTTTTTTTTGCGACAACAAACAATATTTTTTTATGAGCAAATAAGGCTGGAATAGCCTTCACAAGTTTTCCTGCCAATCTACCCATTTTTGGATTTTCTCTAAATGTGGCCAACATAAATTTTAAATTTTTTTTTGGCCTAATACTAGTACAAGCCTCCTGCCTTTGAGGTTTCTATTCTGAGGCAACTAAATTTCTCTTACTACTTGCCCTAGACAAGTCATTTAACAAAATTTTACTTATGCTTAGATTGTGATTTTGTTAATTTATCAGAGAAATTACTATACTTCACATAAAAAAAATGCAGTAATTATATTGAGTAACTCCACATATTCATTACAGGTACATGACATTTGAAAATCACAATACTAAAGCAAGAAGCTAGTCGCATTTAAAAACCTTAATATTAAAACAATGAGTGTTCTTCTCATCAATCATAAGAAGTATGTTGAATGTGTCTTAGCTACTTGAAAGCATTTTCAATTTTAGCAAATGGATTAAAACTCAATAGGCACTTGAAATGCATGCAAGGCTTGTGTTTCATTCAAATTGAAAGCACATCCAAACTAGGAGAGGAGACTTTTAGCCAAGGCCTTGGTGACGTAGTCTCTGCAAAGTACTCTTTAAAATGTAGTGGAATGCAGTCTGAAAGCCACAGCTTGTCAAGTAGGCTTCATTTAAAAACGTTCTGATACTAGGCCCATATACAAGGAGGCCTTAGGAAGTTGCTTCCCGTAAAAATTAACCACGAAAAATCTCTCACCTAATACCACATTCAGCATGCAGCACTCTCACTCAGCAATTCTACCAATTTGAAAATCATACTGTTCAATTTATACAGATTAAAAGCTTTTCAAGCAGTTTTGGCAGCTACTGTTTTCAAGACAATTCGTAAACGTCAGAGTAATTAACATAACGGTAACAAACAAAGTATCCTTCAATTTACAGTTCACAAATGGAGAGTTTTGAGTCAACACTCATTTTTACTGTGTCTTCTATGTTCAATTTAATCACTCTCGACAGTAAAGAAGAATCCGTTTTCAGGATGCATTTGAATTTATCTTAGTTACGAATTCATTAAAGTGATTGTGACGTTCTTAGAAGCTGCGGTATGTCTACTTATTAATCAAGTCTGTTTAGCTTTTGCATAGCGCATACAGCCGAAAAAACTACTTAATTTTCATGAAAGTTATATTTGTCTGTTGAATATTATCATTCTAAGAAACTATTCTCTGTGTTTCAAGGCACAATGTGTTTGTTGATATGATAAACTGATTACAAGTCTTACCCTCCTTTCTACAATCTCTCCATTGGTGTTTTTTTGCAGAGATACAAAACATTTCCCTGTTGTGAGGCATATCTGCGTGTCAGCGCACAATTCGTCACAATCGCACCCAAACTTCGCAATAGCTGTCATATTTGCCTCAGGTTTTTGATTTTGAGCTATAAAGAGAAGAAAAATTATATTTAACAAATTTATCTTTTTGATCAATCTTTTTTTCATAAATGTTTTAATTACGTCACATTGACAGTGTATTTTGTGAATGTATTTATAGTAAATAAGATATCCATACATAAGTCCCATTTCAAAAGTGAAACGCAACTCATGTCATCGAAGTACCACATGACATTATTCTGGAATACCATACAGAAATAGAAAAATAATTCTACAATTACAGTACAACAAAAAATATGATATCACCACAGCCGATACCTCACAGGTGACTTCCTCAATTCACCATAAACACTCCGTGTGTCCATGGCAACAGAGGGATTTGAGAAACCTACCAGATGCATCACTTCTAAGTTCTACTCTTCTTTCCTTCCCTGACACACTTCCAAGATTCAAATTCCAAAGAAAATATAAACATGAAAATAGGAATGCATGTTTTTAGGAATCTTTCATTCTCATCTAACAGCAAGTTGCCAATTATAGGAAGATATTAACTCTCAATGCTCTATTGTACAAATCATGTTTTATTTATTATGAAGGACATGAAGTATTAATTCAGAAAATATCTTAGACTAGTAGGCTTTGAAGTCACTAGTAGTATTGGAAGGAGAGTACCATAATATAAATGCTACACAACAACTTGAATGTAATTGGGAAATTTATAAACAGAACATTAATTCATTATCATCTGTATAGGAATGATGTATAGGGTTATATAAATCTAATTTGTGACTTGAGTTATTAAACAACAAGCACTGCTGTGTCATTTATGAGTCCCATGGATAATTTGTATCCCAAATGTTTTCCAGTCTTGTTCCCTTTTCTAACCAGATGTGTCTAGTATTTCCATCATCAGCGTCATTAACCACAAAATACAACCATGTTTATGAGTTGTCAAACTGGAGGAGGACATCAAAGGTGAACCACATTCACCATTGATACAATCAATTTGAGGATAACAATGATTGTAGACATGCCCTCTGTAGTCAACCTCTTTAACACTTAAGAATTACATTTTAAAAAATACTTAATTTTAGTTAAATGTAAATTCATACCATATTTTACAACAAAGGAAAACAAATTAGACATGAGTTACTTGTCAAGAATCAATTAATTTAAATTAATAATTATAGAAATTACTGTACCTCTCAATTTGTAAGTTCTTGCAATTTTAAGTGGATATGAAATACTAAGACCCACTAAAAAAAAAAACAAACATTAGTTTACCACCCTCACGCGCATGTCTTTTATGGTAAAAAAAACCAAAAAAAATTGTTTTTGTTTTTAATTTATTTTTTTTTATTTAAAAAAATTAAATACAGTAGTTACTAGATATTGTTTGTATTTATTATCCTTATCATGTTTTACTTTGAATATCAATGCACCAGCAAACAACTCAAGGGTGAAATTTGGCTTTAGCAAAAAAAAGAAAGCCTCCCTTCCTGCTTCATCCCTTTCCAGCCTAGATAGGGTGATAAACTAATAATATTTTACTACTGACTACAGTACCTCTATATAATAGAATTGCTTTACTTTGCATCATGTTCCACAGAGTAAAGCTCTACATACAAACAAAGCTTTTGGAATATAAGGATATCATCCTTGAAAAGCATGCAAGCAAATAATACCAAAAGTAACTGGAAGGACAGACAAGGAAAAAAAAACCACAACAATAAAACAATAAAATACAGACATTTGATCAAAGAACAGGATGACTAGCAAAAACATGGTACCACTTCAACAAGCACTCCGGACAAAATCCTCTGACAAATAAACCTAAAGTTAGTTAAATGTGCTAACATAGTATTTATGACAGGCAAAACAATATGGAGGAGTTCATGGGATGATTATAAAAAAAAGGTGTTTTTCACTTGCAATGAAACTTTTATATTTGAATGTTTTCAGATTAAATTAACCTTCTCTACTAAGCTGGCTTTGTAAATATAACTAAACGCCATTTAATATAGTGTAGTGAAAACATAAAGAATAGATGTCTTCTATTATAAATATTCAAATAATTTTTTTTAATTAGCATCCTGTTTTTGGTTTTAAAGCATCATATTATAACTAATCAACTTTGCTGTTAAATAAACAGTAAAACAAAGAAAAAAAAAACTACTGTATTTGAAACCATAAAATTAAATTCTACCAGTATACTCCGACTGAAGAAGACCTTTTTTTTCAATTGAATCCACATTTTAATTAAAGAAAAATTCAATACCCAGAAAGATTATAATTAAAACCCATATTAATAATTTATGCACATTAAACATTCAACAAGCCCTTACATTTGCCGACAAAAGATTAATTCATCGCATGTACTCTCCACTGTAACAACTAATATTGAATGTGTTGTGAATAAAATTATGAGTAATCAGTGAGATGAGCCGAGATGATACTTAACTGATGAATAAGCAGGTAATACTGTACATGTATATATTTTTAGAATAAAAAACATAGTAGAATTCTTAATATTATAATAAATGCTGAATTCAATCTCGCAACTTACAGACTAATGTGAAATGCAAATTTTGTGTTGTTTCCGGTGAGGATGAAGAGGCAGCAAACCATTCATAGGATAAAAATAATCGGAGACAGAACGTCCAGATAACAACGCTGTGCTAGGCTTTGACATTCATACACTTTATGTCTCTAGACAATTTTGATGTAAAGGGATCAGGAGTAGTTAATTTCAGATCCAATGTTCAGTCATGATTTACTATGTAGGCTGGACAATATAAATGGCAGGCATTGGAGCACCCTTCAAGCTTACTAAAATATGGACCATCTCTAGCTTGGTTTAAACAAATCCAGTGGCTGGCCAAATCAAGAGTAGTTAGTTTAGTAGTGTAAACGAATCCTGGTGTTTACTTTAAATTAAAATCTTTGCAAATGATGGCAAATATAACCAAACATATAAATTGAAATCTATGTACCATTGTTTGAGATTTTCAATAATACATATCTTTGGAATACTAACAAAAATTTAAACACTGATGTCAGCACCTGTTTGGTACGATTACAGTACCGTACTGGAAAATGCAAAGCTTCCAACCCTCCCGATTCGATCGGGAGTCTCCCGAATTTACATGTTATCTCCCGGTCTCCCGAATTTGTTCAAGTTCACCCAAATTTCAAAAACTAGGACTAGGCTAGGCCTAGATATGTTGTACTTACCGTACAACCACGAATTTTAACGTACGGCCCGTAATAAAACATGGGATTCGCACAGTAAAATAGATAAAATTAATTAATAGGCCACATGAGTAAAAATGATAGGTACCTTATAAATTATGTTCATGACTCAATTTTAACGTTGAGGGCACTTTTCACTAATTGGTGGGAATGGGGGCGCCCTTCACAAATTCTCCTGTCTCCCGATTTTTTAGGTCTAGAAGGTTGGAATGTCTGAAAATGGGTGCTTTATGGATAGTAGGTTTGCATTTGAAGGCATTCCATTTACATAAAACATGTTACATCAAACGCATCATATCAGCTGTTTTGAGAACTAACACCTCAGACACTACAGTGCCAACATTATCGATGTTAGCTTGAAAACGACATGAATTGTGGGCCTATAATCTTCTTTAAGGGGACAAACTAAAATTGTGATCTCAATTTATTCTTCCCACCTCTTGAAAGGAAGGGTGCTGATCCTATTATAAAACAAATAATACTATTTGATAAGCACAATGATTTGTTCACACTCAAACACCGGCTGCTAACTGATGAATTTCACACTCTTTTCTATTCTTATTCGCATCCAACAGCGCATTGAGAGCCAACTGTTTACAGAATGAAAATACAAAACTCCGAAACATAGGACGAAAAACACATTCCTTTATAATAATACAAACTGGGAATAATACTACATTACTTTGTTAAAACCTGTTTATATTAATAAGATAATCATACTAAAAAGTATTCAATCTTATGTAAGAAAACTTATTTAAAACAATTTAACTGCTCAATAAGTTGACAATGAAGGCAAAAAAGTAAGAACCGCTGCCAAACCGAATCTTCAGAGTACTGTACAGTTCCATTGTGCCATTAACTGAGATAATCCGCTCTGGTTTCAAAGAGTAGTTGGCCGTCTACAATACAAACAGCAATAATATGGTATGTGTGCATATAATTTACAAACACAAGGAACAAATAAATGAAATAAATCTTGAGGATGTGTAAAATACAATTTATGCCTATTCTGGAAATAAAATGTGTCTCAAAATTAAGCATCGCGGTTGAATACGTCACATCTGTTGCGGTTGTTATTACATACTGCAGACTCACGCTTTGCAGAACATTGCCATATAAAACTCGATCAAATAACCATCACGAATACACGGAGATACGGTGGATGTCTTAATCAATATCTTGTGTATGTTATTCCAAGCATACAGCAAATCATGTACACCACTCAAGTTATATTGAGCAAATTGTAAAAATGAACATTACACCAATATTTATAAAGCATTACAGATGAAATGAAATATTAGATCCATAACTGTGCCTATTTCTTTGATTTTTTTCTTGTGATGGCAGATCCAATAGGCATTAAAATGGAAAGCTTATCGTTCAACATGGATCTTATATCTTTAACTTATTAGGAGTAGAACTTACCTGAAACTAAAAACATCCTTTATTAGGCTTATCCTACCCAATACAAACATTAAAGAGCTGTCATATCTTCCTTGCTGAGTGTGCATTCATTATATAAATGGACTACGCAGGCAATTCACGAGTGAAATATGGAGCTTGCAATAGAGCATCAATCATGTAATATGGGAGAGACTGCCTTCATTGTGTGCAAAAGCTAACTTCTAAATGACTGTGTAATATTTCAATTGTTATAGGGCATATCTAGTGGGAGCAATTACGGAAAATGCTCATAATTGGCAACAAAATGAACGATAAGGGAGTGAAAAGTATTGAAATGCATGGCAGGTGATAAAACAGCTAGTAGCCAGTTGGTGTCATGTGACCATTCTCA